AGCATGCTTAGTGTGAGGGTCGGAGAGCCTTTGGACGTTGATAGTTTTCTTGTAAGCTTTCTTCATGGAACTTTGTGAGAAAATATCTAAGTAGTCTTTGATATTATATTTTTCCCGAAATTTTTCAAGCACGAGTTTTGTGGGCTCTTTACATGTATATGCTCTTTAGTGCAATTCGATTCTACTTAGTGTAAAAACTAGAGTAATTGTTGTGCATTTGCACAGAGCATGAAATGTAATCTCTTTTATATCGATGCGCTTTAGATCTTGTCTTTAAATTAATCTAGCATTTGGCTACCCTAACATGTATATTCATAATCATATTATCGCAAATGTTACTGTCATGGTTTCTTGATTTAGATCTGTTTCCTGATTATTCTAAAAAGCATTGATATCATGTGTTGTAAAATTTAGCACTTCTTTTTGATAGTTTTGAGAAGTGGCGGTAAAGAAATTAGAGATTAGCAACTTATGAAAAAAGCACTAGGGTCCCTTTGCCATGCCATATAAGAGCAGGATCATTTTTAAGGAATGTGGAGTCCTTATATTACATCGAAGTATGTACTTAGACTTATGTATGTTTCACTGTCATTCGCTAATCTTCATTTTGTGATGTGAATATGTTGAACTTTATTGGCATGAATTTAACTGGAAACATGCCCCTTGGATGCAGCAACTACTCAACTATTTCACTTACAAGGCTGCAAGGACTGTTCTTCAGCAGTTGTATGAGATGAACCCCAACCCATATAGGTGGTTTTATGAGTAAGTGCTATTGTTGTTGTAGCAAGATTGTTTCTGTCAAATTTAAATAATCTTCGGTCTTGTAATTATTTTGGCTTGAACATGTGGTTCGCCATTGAGTCCCACAGATATACATTTCTGAATTATTTGAGACAATTTTGGTACAATTTTTAATCACAATATGACAGATGTGGCAATTTTCTGCATCATTGTATTGTATCTGCGAAGATTTTCACAATTTCATCCAAAGGTGCTCATCCTTGCTACATGTCACTTCTGATTTTCATTTGATAGGTTTGTTGCAACAAACAAGCCAGGAGATGGGAAACGTTTTATCAGATCCCTTGGCAAGGTACTGTTTGTATTCTAATTACCTATTGATTTTCAGAAGATATTTATTGTTATTTCTTGGTTTTTGCATTATGAATACCTTGCTAACTAAGATAGATTTTAGTAATTATAGGAAGAAGTCTAAGTCCCAAATATACAGGTGAGCTACATAAATCTAGAGATTGAAACTACTGCATGAACTGTTGAAAATTCCTTTTACTCTATTCCTCTGTTTTCCGTGCACAATCCTCTGACATACAGGGTGCCTATGTTATGCCTCTGATTTGTGTACTGCCTATAGTTCTTCAATCCCACTTGTTGCAAAAACTGCTTCTGACAATGTCAATGTTGTCTACATTGTTATTGGCATTGCTGTTGCTAGTTGCTATGACAGTCAAGTGACTATTCCACAGCCATTATTGTTATTATTGTTGCTCTTTTGATTGGAATTATTGTTCTTGAACTGGCAAAAACTACTCTATTGTGAGTATTAATGTTATTACTATCATATCTATTATGAGCCTTGTAGGTTAGCTCAAGTTGCTTCCTCTAGTTGCCAAAAAAAAAAAAAAAATCGTTATCATAGTTGCAATTTTATTTATCATTGGTAGTTCATTACAATTCTCTCGTCCCAAATATTAATAAAAAACAATTGCAAGTTCTGTTGAACTGTTATTAAAAGAAATAAATTTATACTGCTTTAATAAATGTTTTGCAAGCATCGCAGGAAAAACTATAATCTTGAGTACAAAAATGGTTTCAAAGAAGCTCTATCTATTGGCAAAGTTTAACGATGATTGCAAAGACACCTACTCAATCTTTCTCTTTTACTCTGCATTCCAATTTCTCTTTTGCAGTTAAAATAATGGTCCAATCAAATGCCAAATCCTCTCTATCTAATTTTGAGTTAGGATATGATTATGACAATCCAGTTACATAATGAATTTGTAATAACTTCATTCTATTTTCCTGCCCAATTGACAGGAGAAACAAGATCTTGCTGAGAGAGTGATGATAACAAGGCTTCACCTTTATAGTAAATGGGTCAAGGTATTGAATTTTAATAGTATTTAAGTTTTTTAGGTTAACTTGGTATTATTTTTTTGGTCCTTTAAATTGTGTTTTGTGCCTCATTGATCCTCTATTTTTTAATTAGTATCCCACACCTCCTAAATCATTCACCCCCTAAAAAGGTGTTGATAAAGCCTCTTAAATGTTGATTAACCTAATGTCCAAAAAAAATGTGTAGGACTTTCATGATATAAAATTGAGGAACTAAAGAATCAATTTAGCACATAGTACATTTAATGAGTCAGATGAACTTAAAGCGACCAAAGTATTAACTTAAGTTGACCCCCCCCCCCCAAAAGAAAAAAAACCAAAACATCAAGAATTCGAATTATAATCACTACTCACACCTCTCGTAGCCACTTAACACCTAAGTTAGAATCCATTCCAACACCTGTTAATCTTTTGCAAAGGATCAAAGTAATTTTTCTTCTATTGTTGCTATGCAGAAATGTAATCATGCTGAGATATATCAAGAGATCTCAGATGAAAACTTGGAGTTGATGAGGGAAAGGCTGATGGAGACTATAATATGGCCCTCGGATGACACAAACACAGAAAAAATCGGATGATAAGTCTGCAACCTATATCTCATCTTCCATTCCGAACTCTAGCTGAAATTGGGGGGGAAAAAGAGTTTAGGTGGAGTGTACTTTTTTCCCTTTCTATACGAATCTGTTGCCTTTTCCAAATCTGCACTGTCTGCAAAATAGAATTGTTGGATTCAGTGTATAAAATGTGTACATATTTGTACTCATCTATATGCCAATAGTTAGATATAATTTGAAGAGAGTATTTGTGAGTGAGGTGTACTCACATCAATTTCTTTGTAGACTAAAATTAAATTTCAAATCATTGAGAAGCTGATATTAAAGATGTTAAACATTCAGGAATGTTACCATTTTAAACCAAGGAACTTTTTTTTTTTTTTGGGTGGTATAATTCAGAGTATCCTCAAGCCGCTTTAGGCTTGAGATTGATATCTGTCAGGATAGGATTGTTAAGATTAAAGCCGTCCCAACAAATGTGCTTCTCAGGAAATAAACTTGTGAATGAAATCACTTGTAAATGAAAATCATTTACTATCTCAACCAATAACTTGTTGGTTAAACTAACCAACTTTATTATAATATAAGCTGAGTTGATATTTTCCTTGATTTAATTTTCTTGAAAAACATTGTTTTTTCTAAAATAGTTTTCTGTTATATATATAGGGTTAATACCATTATTTAGTCCTTATAATTTGATTGAATTTTAGTTTTTGATCCCTATAGTTTTATAAGCATTTTGTCTAAGTTAACAGCATGAAGCATAAAAACCAGAGCTATATTTTTAAAGAATTTTGGTCTCGGTTCCTATTCTTAATAGTATTGAATAAAAGTTAGTGGCATAAAATTCAGAGCAAGTTTTTAGGAAATTATAAGGAGTCAAAACCACAATTTCAAACTATAAGGAGTAAAACCAAAATTTGATCAAAACCAATAATATTAACAACCTGCATATGTATATTGAAGAATTTGAAGGATCCGCGTGGCAACGAGGGTTCTGCTGCAAACCTGATTTCTCTTGTATGTTTATGCACAATGAAGTATGCAGTAGATTTCCACTATTGTTAAATCTATTATTAAAATTCCATAATTTTCATGCCTGGATCCTGACTGCCTGCAAACTCCACAAATACCTCATTCGAATCAAAGTACAATGGGCGGAATTTGATAACGGAAAAGCCAGGCCAAAGAAAATAACGGGAAAGATCTTACAGATTAATATTTTTGCCAAGCCTTGATTTGGCAAGCCATGTTTTCTTGTTTTTTCCCCACGCAAAGGAAACAAAACTTTGAGAGAAGAGCAAGTAAACGAGCAAACTTCGAGGGGATAGACATTAATAATGTGGTTGCTAACTAATACTTATTTGAGCCAAACGGAAATCAATGAAAAATTAAACAACTCACACTAACTTCGATCTAAGCATTTAGAGTGGCTAATGGGTATTAATTGGACCAACTATGACGTTAATCCAGGCATTGCACAAAATTCCTGTAACTACGATGCATGCTTCCACTGTTAGCTTTAATGCCTTCAAGGATGGGAAAAGGAAACAAAAGACGCAATTTCATAAGCCATGAAAGAATTTGCTAGCATAGATAAACAGATGGCTTTCCATGGGTCAGCTAAATTTCCCTCAACCACGACCACGTCTATTCAAGCTTTCACTTCCGCTAAGGCTTCTCTCTTTTTGCCTTTCCTTGTTTCACCTGTATTCTGTTGCTGCTGCTCAGCCTTCTTTTGAGCACGAATCATTGCGCGCCTTGCCCTTGGCCGCATTTCACGTACGTTCCTAGGAGGCATCATGTAAGATTCAAGGGGCCTATCACCAAAAGGATGCTCGCTACCAGCAAATATCCTCAATTTCCGATCCCTATCCTACATTTATGAACCGGGAAAAAAAAATGCAACTTAGAAAGACAGAAAAAATGTTGTAGTAAGAATGTAAAAATAAAATATTTGACATGAAAGATCCTAAGCTATTTAGAAACCAATTTACCCTACATCTCTGAACTAGCATGACCTAATGAGCTCAGGAAACACTGAGACACTGCTCTCCATTTCTCGCTCTTTCAGAATCCAAGGAATTAAGTGAAAAAATTGCTGAAGACAGCATATTTGCATTAGATAAATAAATAAATAGAAGCAATATTAGTTTGAAGTGCTAGGTGTGCTAACTAATGCAAGAAAGGTGACTTCGACAGGGTGAATCCTCCATGATACTTTGATGACAAGTTCCCTTCTCATGATGCTCCGAACAGCCAATTTAGTGTCTACGAATGGTAAAAAATGATGATTCCCCCCTGAAGTTTGGGCTTTTGCTACCTAGGGTTGTGATCTCACATAGAATACCACATGCAACCAAGAATACTCAATCCTCATTCTGTGACATAGTCCTTTTTTGTCAATTATAATTTGGCTCCAAACTATTGGGTCCGTGCTACATAACGCTTAAAGTTTGGGGTCTGTTAGCTAAATCCCATATTCATAGTTCAAAATAACATAGTTCAAAATAACCAGAGTCTGGTCTATGTAACACTCACATCACGCAGTTTGTTTCTAGGCAGCATGCGCAGAACAGCTTTGCGAATGACTTCTGTAGGGTCTTTGGCTAACTGGTCCTTTAGACTCCTTTCCTTGAGGTGGCCCACATACCTGCATGCCACTACTTCATGTCAGGATAAGAAGCATTATCAATTCCAAGACATTATGGAATAAAGGAACCCAACAAACAGCTAACAATTGTAAGTTTGGGGAACTTCTTCTTCCTTTTTTTTTTTTGGGGGGGCAACATATCAAAACACCTGATTCCAAGTAACCAAAAATTCTAAACACTTCGTCAGTTTCATTGCAAGATCAAAAGGAACAGCACTTACCCTGTATGCCAGCGATAGAACTTATCTGTAAGCTTTCTTCCAGTCACACAAACATCCTTTGCATTAAGCACAATACACATATCTCCATCATCACGATTAGGTGCATATGTTGGCTTATCCTTGCCCTGAACTACAGTAGCTATTTGAGATGCTAACCTCCCAAGGACCTTATAAAAAAGCAACACAGTTAAACGTGAAGTGATCTCATCTCTTCAAATATTTAAACAGTTCTAATCTTGATTACAACTATATCTGCCAAACAAATGGCTTCAGCCCCCCATGAAATTATCTTAAAAGGATCTACAAATAATAAATCAAGCCTACATCTACTCTGAGTAGTAATAACCTCAAGATAAGTTGCACAGAAGAATTGTTCTCTTTAGAGTCAGCTTAAAACTAGATATGCTAACTAAAAATCAACAATCTTTCTGACCGTCTACAAAATGACACCTCCGTAAATCGTCCTTGTTTAGATAAATCTTCAATAGATTTTACTTCAAATTATCTCATAGTTAATGTGCATGCCAAATTGCTAATTGATTGGCTTTTGTCCAAGAACTGGATGCAATATCTCATATTTTATTCTCTTTCTCACATGCAAATGCTGGAAAATCCATGGATTGACAAGCCACAAGTTGCACATTGAAATTTAGCACGAATATTAAGTACAACAAGGGTTCGCTAAACAAACATAGAAGTTAATCCCTCCGTGCCTATTTATAAGAATATTTTGGACTCCTATTTTGTCCCAAAATATAACAGAATTGGAGGAAGTTGGTAGTGTAACTAAGGTACCTTTCCAATTTTGCCCTTCACTTATATTTGTTAGTAATTAATGTACCTCTCCACCTAATCACTTTATTGAGGGCATTTTTTCAACCAAAAAAAGGGGCATAATGTGGCATATTTAAAGCATTTAACGAACAAATCAACTTTTCCTTGGTATTGAGAAATTAGTTATTTGTTTCTTATATTTAGACACAAAGGGAATATTTGAAATTGGAATTATAAGTTATTTTGTCTGTGCGGCAATGATTATGGACCAGCTCCAGTGTACTTTCCACAGGAGCTCAAAAGGCAAGAGAGGGAAAACCTCAAACTCACCTGGCCTTTGGCATCAAAAACCCTCCAGCGCAGCCCTTCAAGATTAATACGTCTAAGTCCCGCAAGTGCTTTCTGGAGATATCATAAAGGCCACGAGTGATCAAAATAATTTTGAAACTAAATTTGGAAGAAATCAGCATGAGACGTTGATTTTAGTCAAATGGGAAATAACAGAAATTCATACCAATATCTTAAGAATGCTCTAATGACTAGGAAGACTAGACCATCAACTCAACCGCATTTTTCCAACAAAAATTTCAAAACCTTTTTATCCAGTAAAGTATGAAGTTGACGTCAGCATTTTATATATTTTATAACAAAGCAAGCACTTACAAAATCTTTTCAACCAATGTAATTGTGCTTGAAGTTAGGCGATTTATGAAAACTGCAATATATTAATCCATAAATTTCAAAACTACACTACGACAAGAAATGATACAAGTAAAATCGGTAATAAAAAATATACCACAGGCAGGATTTATAATGAACCCTTTGGAGTATATTACAAACATTCGGAATTTGCAGTATAATTCTAGAATATGATATAACATAGTGAGCTTCCAAACATATGAAAAAAGAAATGGAGAAGGGGAAAAACTGAAAAGAAAAATACCTTAATGTTTCCATTGAATGTTGTTGCTGCTTGGGTTGCCATATAGACTCTAGATGTCTTCCGTCAATCTTCGTGCAAACAAACGAAAAAAATAAATTCATGACTGAGATGGCATAAAATTATAATGCACAAAAGATCCTGAAAATCGTCACCAAATTTACGAGATATAAGAAAACAGGAGAGAAATTAAAGCTCAACACGATACTGTAAAAGGGACAGACTGTTGACCCAGGACTTGAGATGAGTAGGGGCAAAAAACATTTTTATTCTCAACATTTTCCATATTCAATCAGAACAAGAATCGAACGGCTGGAGACTGATGGGAAAATCTTATTCTTACTTATGAATGAGGATGGACAAAAGTAGACTTATATAACACTTAGCGGAGTATCTTTCCCCACTGAATGTCTGAAATATGCATAGTTGATAATATTGACATCATACATTTCTAGTTTTTGTTCATACTTTAACGAAGATGCCTTAGTGAGCCAGCTGATTCAGGTAACCACTGCAAGACACTGAAGAATGACAACGACACTCGTAATTTATAATCTTCCAATTTCATCTTGCACTTTATGATCATGGAAAGTGTTGCCTAGAGTGAGTAAGGTGTGCAACTGATTGTTTCTGTCAACAGCTTATAAATTCACAGACCAGTGAGCAGCAGGAAATGATTTAAACTCAAGCTTCTAAATTGCCCGACACAAAACGAGACAAGTCACTTACCAGATCATGCATCAACAATACCTTGAGAATTTTAAAAATGGATGGTAATAAACAAAATGCCAATACGTAACTAATCTAACAATGCACAGCGATACAACCCAAAGCAGTCGCTAGTAATCAAAATGAAAGAGGGCAGAAGTATAATAGTCAATAGCACACCATTCAAGCAAAGGCTAATAATAAAAGTCTTGCTTATAAAAATTAAACTCAATTTGTAAATATTCCTAGACTCAAAAGCGTCAGTGTTCAAACGAATAAACGCCCAGATTCAAAGCCAAGTTAGAATGAAAAATTTAAAACAGAAAAGGAAACGTTACGAAAGCATCCGGCAAACGGCTGACAACCACGCAGGAAACAGATAACGCGGGGGACAAACGCGAATATAGATTCAAAGCCAGATTGAACAAACAATCTCACCGGATTTTGGGAGAAGGCAAAGCGCTAGAGTTCGAACCTCTTTCAATACTTGCCAGAGAACAACCACGCAAGGCTGACAACGGTGGACGGCGTACGGCGGCGACTTCGACCAAGTGTGGCGTGATGGTTCGTCGACGAAGAAAAACGGAGCAGTCGAGCACAAGCGGGGTTTGTTAGGGGTTATCATTAATTTTTATTTTTTATTTTCATAGAAGGGGTTATAATTTATTAGCGAAAGTCCTAAAAAAATGATAGCTGAATTTTAAAATCTTAAATCAGTATTCGTTACTATACTTATAAAAAAAATAGCTACATTTAAAGAGCAAATGACAACTCATTTTTGTAGTAATTCCTAATTTAGTATTTTGAAATTCAGTAATCACTTTTTTGGAATTTTCTCTATAATTAATCTTATCAATTAATTCTTTTTTCCTGAAGTTATTCATTTTCTACAAATAAACCTCCACTACACAATTAATATTCTTAAATTTCACTGCACTCTCACGTACTAAAAATATCCTTTTTTATTTTGAGATTATAAATTTCTTTATGTTTTGTTATTAATTATTGAATTTGAATTGTAAATGGTCAAAGTTATATCGTTAATTACCAAATTTGAGTTGTCGGTTCTCACCAAAATTATTATACTTGCGGGTTGTGATTTTTTTTTATACTTTATGTAAATCACTTTTTGTTGTGTATCATTGAATTTGAGTTGTTTATTTACTTATAAAATTTATAAGGACCGACAACTCAAATTTGACAATTAACAATTCAAATTTGATGATTTATAAGAATTTTTTACAAAAAATAAAGCAAGTTTTTTTGTCTTTTTACCCATGAAATTCTGATCCCTCGAGTGCAACGAAATTTTATAATTTTTTTTAAAATTGATTGATATAGATTGTCTACAATTAGGTTAAATTAAATTTCCCCAAACATTATTGTCTTTTGATATTTTTGGACCTCTTTTTTCTATTTATTCTTGGCCATTTATTTCTTTTGTGTACTTCACTTATTTTTTTAAAATTTATTTACTTATTATTTTTTTATAAAAATGTTGAACTTACAATTTCATGATTAAAATAGCCTAACAAGAAAATTTCACGATTGAAAAAGACTGAGAAAGAGTTTAATATGACTGGGTTACAGAATTTTTCACCTTACATGCCACACAAGTCTAATTCAAGGATTCCATTTGCTACCATATGATGAATTAAGATAAATAAATCGAAATTAAATCTACCTTTTTTTTTTTTGACCAGCGAAATTAAATCTACCTAAAATATCATAATAACCTGATTCTAAATATAAAATTTAGTTTGTAACGCAACTTACACGGAAAAATACACCTTATCCTAGCCTTTTTCAAGTCTAGATATCTCACACACCTAGACACTCCCCCAACACATGGGAATTTGATCCCCCAACCTACTCAACAAGAGGGGTGGGATGATGCCATTTGAGACAGGACTTGGATTCTCTCCACTTCCTTCCCATCCTCTTCCCCTCCACTACCCTTCTTTTCTCTTCACAACCATTGGATTAAAATTCCAATGGTCCAGATTTAACATCTTATAAAAATAATATTATTAAATAAATAAATAAATAAATTTAAACTGTTAAAATCTGGTCTGAACAGTTTACAATTGTAATAAAAAAATTAAAAAAAATTTGCTCTATAATAACAGTCTGTAGTTATGAATTGTTCAGATTAGATTTTAACAGTTTAAATTTATTTATCTATTTTTTATCATAATATTTATCTTTATAAAATGTTATAAACTATTAAATCTGGACCATTGGAGTTTTGATCCAATGGTTGTGAAGAGAAAAAGATAGTAGTGGAGGGAAAGAGGATGGGAAGGGTAGTGGAGAAAATCTGATTCCTTTAAGACAACGGTCATTGGTTTGACTTTGCATGAATAAGTCAATATTTATTTATGACAAAAAAAAATTTATAATAAAATTGTATTCTTCTATAAACTTATATTATTATTTAATCATGTTTAAAAATTAATAAATTCAATTTAGCAAATCACAAGTTCTCAATAGTTATTCGCAACAACACTTCCACGATAAATTTATACCTTTTAACAAAACTTGTTATTTGATCATAACATAGGTTTAGAAATATATTAATTCAATTTAGGAAGTGCCCATTATTAGTAATAACAAAACTTTTGCAATTAAACCATCACAAGAGTGTCAGTCACGATTAAAGGAGCGTTGACTTCCGTTCAGGTCACATAAGTCCCTTTGGGAGGAAAAGGAGGTGGCTTTGGAGGAAAAAATGACAGATAGTGTAATATGATTGCATGATTCAGATATTGTTAATTGCTCGTCCGGTTTTTAATATAAAATCTAATTATTAAATTAATTTTAGTCTTAAATATAATATCTATTTATTATATTTATTAATTTTTTTAAATTACCACTATGATACTCCCTCAACTATAATCAATTAAAAGAGATAGAGAGTATTTTTTAAAAAAAATTATATTTTTTATAATTAATAAATTTATCTAATTTTTTTAATCTAATTAAATTAGTTAAATAAATCTTATATTACAAATAGAAATAGAAAGAGTTCTGGGTTTTTTACGGCTAAATAGTGATTTGCTAAACGTGCAGATTTTGGCATATCGAGTAAATAAACGTAAAGTTTGTCACTGGGATTACTCATGTCGTGACGTACGCTCTTGACATTTCGATAAGATTAGCCTCTTGCCCCTTCACAGGTTCTCTTCTTTCTCCTTGGTCGCCATGGAAGCCACACTCCTTACCTTTCCAACCTCCAAAGCCCCATCTTCTCAAATCCTGACCCGGCCAGCCAACCCATTTCTATCGTCCAAACCCAGACTGTCCTACAAATCTCGCCGTCATTTGCCTTCAATCAATGCCGCAATTTCTCGCACCAAGAAAGAAGAAACCGTGGAAACAGTGAAAAAGCAGCTCGAGAACTGCTATCTCCTCGCGGCAATCAATTACAAAGGGTTCACAGTGAAGCAATTCCAAGAGCTTCGCAGAAGCCTTCCCGAGACTTCGACATTGGTTGTGGCGAAGAACACTTTGGTTTACAAGGCCGTTGAGGGTACCGAGTGGGAATCGTTGAAGCCGTGTATGAAGGGTATGAATGTTTGGCTTTTTGTTCACACTGAGGAAGTTCCTGCCGCGATTAAACCCTACAGGGATTTCCAGAAGGAGAAGAAGCTTGAAGATAATGATTTCACTGGAGCTGTGTTCGAAGGGAAGTTTTATGCTCCCGATGAGTTAAAAAAATTGGAATCTTTGCCCTCGCGTGCTGAGATTTATGCCAAATTGTTGGGTTCTTTGCAAAGTCCCGCGTCGGCTTTGGTGGGCACATTGCAAGCGCCGGCTAGAGAAATTGTAATGGTTTTGAAAGCTTACGTGAAGAAGCTGGAAGAAGAAGGTGGTGCGCAATAATGGAAATTCGTGTAATTGTAAGTGTAATTTCGATACCCTATTGTTCATTTGTGTTTCCAAGTTATATTATGTAGATTGATGTGTTTTGCTTATCTCGGAAATTGTAGAATTGAGGGATACAAGAAGAGAGGGAGAGAAACCAGGGAATGAGGAATGTATAATTGTTGAAAGTTCAGTTTTCGATGAGGGACTCTGTAAAACTTATTGCCAGTCAGTTTTCATTTTAATCATGCGATTCAACAAGTTGGTAATTTTCTTTATAATAAACTTTGTTTTCCTATTAACAAAAGTTCATTCTGTAATTGACTG